ATGAAATATTTACTCTTGGCCACATCTGTGTGTCAGCTCTGTTTGAAATTAAACTGCTTTCATCTTGCTTGTGTATCCAGTTTGGGTTCTGCTGCTTTTTTTGCTGGAGTCTGTCTCTGGGAGATGGTGGCATGTGGAGAGATTTTCAGTTAGAGGGCATCGATTAGAGGTGATCTGCATCCACGGGCGAGACACTCAGCTGGTGTCAGCCTGTGCTGTCACAGAACATTACGCTTTGGGGTTGTTTGCTAATTTAATGACAAGACAATGTCATATCCCTGCTGTTTCAACATTAAAAAAGGAAAATGACTTGTTTACTGGAGGAATCTGATGCTAGGCTATTCTGAGAGTGTCACTGTGGGAGAAGTCTGTACCGGTCTTTGTCCTGCCACAGTTTGCGGAGTTCTCAGGCAACACGCAGTGATGTTGAGATGTGTCCCGATTTCTCCATTGCAGCGCCGAATCCTCCGGGAATACGGGAGGAACTGTGCACGGCGTCATATGACACGATCACTGTCCACTGGACCAGCGACGACGAGTTCAGCGTCGTCTCCTACGAGCTGCAGTATGCCATCTTCACCGGCCAGGCCAACGTCGTTAGTAAGTGAGCAGGATCGGACACGGGATCGGACGCCAGCACATCTCATTCATACTGACTTCCTAATGTGAGCTAAATCCTAGAAACCTTGGATTCCCAGTCCCTTGAGTGCAATGCAATGTACTGGTGAAATGAACATACGTCAATATAACAAGCACAAATGTCACCCTTCCATTTTCAATCACAGGTAGAGAAAGGATACAAAATATAATAGCTAAACAAGGTGTAATTCTTCTTACAAAAAAGACGCCTTTCTTTAGTCTGATGGCCTACGCCCATTTGCTTCGGCAGACTCATTAGGGAATACAGATTCTACAAATCAGAACAGAGAGAACACAATTATACACACAGTATTACCTTTTCCTATTGAAATACAACATACATTTTCTGTAAGAGAAGGGGTAGCTTTGCACTCCTCCTTTGAATAAAGTTGCAGTCCCTTTAAACACTAGGGAGTGCTGGCTGCATTTCCTCATGATTTCTGTGAATTTAAAAAGCAGACATCCATTTTAGTAATTTTAAAAACAGGGGTTCAAAATAAAAACATCTGCCAAAGGACAGAGCCCCTCCCCCCCACCAAGCATGGATACCTCACCATCCAGGCAGTGGTGGTGTGTTTAATCAAGCAGGCCCCCTTTGATCCCGCGGCTGAACACTCTGCCTCCGCAATAGCATATGAAACAGCTGCTGGAGCCCAGGTTCCTGTTCAGTGACTAGAACTTAACATGATGCTCAGTTACTGTACGTCTGTCTAACGGAAGCGCATTGTGTTCTGCCGTGCGCAGCTCTGTCTGCAGGTTGTGGATCCATGAAAGCCCCTAAATGCACTCATTCAGCAAACTCTGCACTTCTCTTTAGCCCCGTGATCCTGAGCTATTCCACCTCAGCTTCCTGTTGGCTCCTGACTCTTTGAAACATTTCACATTAGCCAGTGCACTGGCCAGAGATCAGGTGAAAATGGGGCTGTTTCTGGCACTGGAGAGATTTCCTGATGAGGGAATTGTCCCTGCAAACTGCACATTGTGTCTTGATGCCAAATGAAGGAAATGGGAAAAGGGGGCTGCGAGACCCACAGATTCTGTGCAGAATTTAGGGTGGGAGTGATAAAAAAAAATGAGATTGCCTTTCATTTGGCTGCATTTGTAGTTTAACAGTAAATATAACTTACGGATTTATGTGTGCTTAACCTGTTGTGCTTGGCTTAATGTGATTCAGTGTTTGTTTTCCATCCAGTTGTCCACCCAGACTGCTTGCCCTGCCTAAGGCCACATTATTATGAAGCTTATCCTGGTAGACAGGACCTAATCCAGGGCGGGGCGTGTCCACCAGAGGGCAGTCAGTCACACGTTATCCCGAATTAATCAGCGCTGATGAGGCAGTCTGGGGCGATCACAGGGGCGTGAGGAAAGCCCGAGGCTGAGAGGTGTCGGCTCTGGCACATTGCACGTGGTGCTGGGTGATGGGGGTGCCAGGGAGGCCCCCCAGGCCGGGGACAGGAGCGTGTTACTCAGGGAGTTTATTGGTGGTAGGGAGATGGGGGTGGTTTCTCCTTTTTTGTCTTGTAGTTTACCCCCTCCAAACAAAAAAGGGAAAAATTCAAAGTAAAGTCTCATGATTAGGGCAAGCTGGGCCTCCCACACACGTCATAGAGGGGTATTTTGGAGAAGGGGTTCCCTGTCTTTTGATGTTCATCGGCTGTATATCGTATAACAATTTCATGAACCGGTAACCCAGGGGGAGATTGATATCATACATTTAACTGTTTGCATATTTTTTTCAGATGCAAACAGAGGGGTCATAAAAAATGCAAAATATGTTATTTATTTTTGGAAATTAACAAACCCCTCCACAAAACTTGCAGTGTTCTGGAGTACTGGCCACTGATCGGTACCAGTCCGTGGACAGGGGGTTGGGAACCCCTATTGTGGGAAATACTCAAAATTTAACATTTCTCCATCGTGCTGTCTTCCAAAGCACAGGGTGACTGGGAAAATAAACACATGTACTGTAATGTGTGAATTACAAGATGATTAAGTGAGGATAAGATGGGACCTCCTGTCCCTTACACAGAGTCGACACGGGTTACCGTATGCGTGCAGAGTTTCTGTGCTGTCACTCGTGTCCTCTCTGAGATCCCCAAAGGCTTCCCGCTCTGAAATGCCCCCTCCCCCCGCATCTCTTGACAGGCCTCTGCAACTCGGCCGACAGCTGGATGATCGTGCCCAACATCAAGCAGAATCACTACACGGTGCACGGCCTGCAGAGTGGCACCCGCTACATCTTCATTGTCAAGGCCATCAACCAGGCGGGCAGCCGCAGCAGCGAGCCAGCGAGGCTTAAGACCAACAGTATGAGTCCTGCCTCCGTGTGTGTGTGTGTGTGTGTGTGTGTGTGGAAGGGCAGGTTTACGCACAGGCTAACTTGGGCTATATCCGGGGGCCTTGTGTTGTTTGGGGCCCCAAATGTATTTTTTATGGTTGTTACAGTGGCATTATATGCTGGAGGTTAGACTCCAGCAATGAACTTGGCCCAGCTCCATGTGTGGCTACAGCTACATGTGTATGTATGTACCGTTTTGCTCAGCCAGTGTGCAGCACCCCTGGAGCTGGGGGTTAAGGGCCTTGCTCAACGGCCACCAGACATGTGACTGTTATCCGAAGGCTTGACCTGGTGATCTTCTGAGTACAGTCATAGGCTTAGTCTGCAGAGTCACATATAGCCTCCTTACGCGTAAGCAGTGGTGGCCTAAGGGTTAGGGAAGCAAACTTGCAGTCAGAAGGTTGCTGCTTGGAATCCATAACTAACAGAGTACCACTGAGGTATTATGAGCAAGGTACTGCCCCCCTGGGTGCTGAATTTGTTGCCCTCCTGCTGTGTCATGATGTCACATATGGGTTAAATGCAGAGGACACATTTTGTTGTTGTGCTGTAGTGTGTGACCAATGACAACTAATCACTTCATATTACACTTTATCTTTGTAATCATGTTAATCATGAAATTTTGCATAGTTTTCGTATAGTTTTTCTTTTTCTATAGATTATACATAAGCAAGCAGCTAAACGCCCTTCCTGAAACCTCTTTGGCCCTGTCAAGGTCAGCCTTTTAAGCTGGACCCCAAGTCGGCGCACCGTAAGCTGAAGATTTCCCACGATAACCTGACAGTGGAGCGCGACGAGACGTCGTCCAAGAAGAGCCACGGGCAGGAGCGCTTCGGCAGCCAGAGCAATTACGGTGTCACCGGCAATGTCTACATCGACAGCGGCCGCCACTACTGGGAAGCTCTGATTGGAGGAAGCACGTGGTATGGGAGGGTCATGTGACCACTCTTGTTTTATGTGTTTTGGGTTCTGAGGAGCATGCTTTCTTAATTTTTTTATATTTAGTAAGTAGAAATTTTATCCAGAAGTCAATGCATGTGAAATCCCTGTATATGGTACCGTTTCATTTCACACAGCACTTCATAAACTGAATTAAAACATACAATATATACCGTAAATGGAAAAAGTTGCAATAAGCTTTTCTGGAAATCTCCACTCTGTCTGAAGGGACAGGCCAGTAGAAAGGAATTCAAACCCTATTAATGAAATTTACCTGTCTGTTTTTATATATAAATGGTACTGTGCAAAGGTCTTAGGCAGTCAAAAAATGTTAAAGGGTATTTATCTGAGTAGTAAGTGTACATTTGCTCCAATAAAACACAAAATTAGAACATCAGAATGGCAAATTAAGAGTTTATCCTGTTCTTCAAAAGTACAGCTATCTTGTTGGATAGCTAGACGAGCATTACTGTGGTTCCCAAACCTCTCCTCAGGGGCATCTCAGCCATTCCATGTATTTGTTAAATTTCAGCTCACTTAATTGATTAATTTAATTAGTTAACTGAATGAGGTATTGATTAGCCAGACGTGGTATATGCTTGTGGTGATTAGCCAGTATGGTATTGGTAGATTAAAAAAATATATGGCTGTATTTGATGGTTGCTGCAAATACTGGAGTGATTTCATGGGAGGTTTTGAAATGGCAAAGCTGACACATTTTAGCAGACATAATATCATAATTTAAGGAGATAATTTAAGCATCATTTAATTTGAGTACCTAAGTACTGCTTACATACAGTAGATATACCCTCACTGTCTGTAGCCACATAGATAGCCAATCTTTATCCTTCCTATCCCCAAAAGGTACGCCGTGGGCATCGCCTACAAGTCAGCACCAAAGCACGAGTGGATCGGCAAGAACTCGTCCTCCTGGGTACTCTGCCGCTGTAACAACTCCTGGGCAGTGCGGCACAACGGGAAGGAGGTGTCGGTGGAGCCATCCCCACATCTGCGGCGCGTGGGTGTGCTGCTCGACTACGACGGCGGCTCGCTGGCCTTCTATGACGCTGCGGGCTCGCAGCACCTGCACACCTTTGACATCGCCTTCGCCCAGCCTGTCTGCCCTGTCTTCAGTGTGTGGAACAAGTGCCTGACCGTGCTAAGTGGCCTGCCCATCCCTGACCACCTGGAAGGCGCCGAGCTGCAAGACTAATGGAAAGACAATGAGAACAGACAAAGAGAGAAAGAAAGGCTGGAAGAGAGAGAGAGAGAGAGAGAGAGAGCTGTATTCTCAGACACACTGACTAGGCTCACCATCAGCACTGCTCCATACAAAAGGAGACATAAAAACAGCTTAAAATATTTTTACGTACGCTCTTATAGTAATAAATTAATAGCGATAAATTATTTATGTATAAAACGGAGTAGGATTTTTCTTGCTTTGCACATGGTTAACTACTTCATTTACACTTAGTTGACTTTGGGCAGTATGGAAAGTTTTTGAAACTTCCGAACAGCTTTTTGGGGCACAGTTGTGTATCGCTTTCATTTGGGATTTAATGACAAGCTGTACTTGTTTAGTGTTGTTTCATTTCTGCAGACCTGACAGCTGTCAACCGTATGCCGATGGAACAAACTTGTAAAATCTCTAACGAGCACCACTCTGCATTGATCCGTATAACTATCCCTAGAGGGAACACTAGAACAGAATCACTCATTTTTGTTTACGTTGTCCTTGCTATTACAGCTTTGTCTGCCATTTTCTCATAATTTTTTTAATATAGCCATCGCATTCTAATGCTTCTCTCTCGAAGTTCGGGTTAAATCATCCGAGACGACCGTTTTTGAGCAGAGGCGTAGGTAATGCAGTTAGGTCTTGATTATTTTAAAATCCTGCTTATCTCACCCACAAAGGGATTTTATGCACCACGTGTGGGTTTTGCACCAACAGTTGCGTTTATGGAAACGGACTGAGTGGATTCACAGCCGGGAGCAGAAATCACTTATTCTATTGCTCCATCAGACGTTCACCAGCCACAGGGGGGCAGAGTCTTTAAGGGTCACTCACACAGCATCTGTTCCATCCTTTGGGGTTTAATTGCTCACTAACAAGGTCGGGCATGAGGACAAAAATAAAAAATAAACTGGCAATGTCGTTCAGCTCAACAGCACTGTTGAAGGGTAAATCCCCACCCCTGTGTTGTAGGCATGTTTTATCTTAAAGTAAATCTCAGCATTTTTGAAAATTGCTTTGACAGCAGTGTGGAAATGGACTCAAATGGACTGGATTGATTTTATTCTTTTCTTTAAATCTACAGAAAGGCATGCATTCCTGATGATTTTAAATCCCTGAATCAACATTGCTGCTGGTTTGCCCTCCCCATGTACATCTTGTTATCGCAATGTTTGTCGAATTTTTGGACGCTCACTCATGGAGAAAGGATCGCTGGACTTTGCAGGAGGCTTGCATTACAGTGCAATGCTTTTTCCTTGTACATTTTTTGTGAAATATAAAAAATATATATGTTCCACCACTGTGTTTTGGTCATTATTAGCAACACACTAAATAGATAGCTCATTTGGTACATCAATAATGTGAACATTTAGATAAATTAAAACTTAACCCCATCCGTATAAATACATAATTTGCACATTATTGAGGATATAAACAACAGTTCATGAAAATCTTTAGCTAAACTATCAATAATGATTCCTTAAAAAAATATTAGTTAAAACTTTAAATGCAGTTATAAAAATAACAGGGTCATAACTTGGATTAAATGGAAACTGATATGAGATGTGCATGAATGCAACTGTATTCGCAGCCAGATTAGATTTCCATTTAATATAGTTTATACACATGTGAGTCATTTGTCCATATAGCATGTAGAGCAATTCACTTGATGCAAATTACATTCATTAAGCTGCTATATTTTAAAAGTAGCATTCAGTGCTGATCAATGACCTCCCGGAGATGCTGTGATTCCTACTGACACATGTTTTTGTTCTCCAGTAAAGACAAAATTAAAATTGGAAGACAGAGTGTGAATGAACTTGCTGTGACCTCACCCTCCAACAGAATCTGACAGAGTGTCATCCCGGTGGGAGGGTGACACCAAGACCCCTGGGCAGTGTGTAGAACGCTCTGCTGTAGGCAACCTACAACCCAAAAATACCTAGAAGAACCCATCCTGGTCTGAATTGTGAGGATGGAACTCCCAGAAGCTCCTAGATTAGCAGGACACATGAAGGACACTGAGGGCTGAATGCCTACATTACTGGAGACCTCCAGTGAGACCACTTCAGTACTGGCATAAAGGAGTCCTTTGTTTTTTGTGTAATTTGTGATAATAAAATGTTGAAAGTGACTCCAAAGGCATGAAAGAAGGCAGCCAGTGGGCTTTAAAAGTAGAGACAGGTCACTGTCTCTCCAGGTTCTTCATCTGTCCGAAGGTCACCAGGTCAAGCTCTCAAATTTAATTCAGGGTGGAACTGAAAACTGGAGCACAAACACGTACAAGAAGGTGCCATTTCATCTGACGCAACTTGAAATGGCACCTCAGGCCAATCTGATACCCAGTTCACCTCGGCTGGCTGGAACGAATGCAGTACTTTAGGAGGTTAAGGCAAGAATGGCTTCGCCGAAGCGTTTTAGCATCCAGACGGGAGGTAAATGGTCCAGGAAGACAGGGTACTATGGAAACTGATTTCTCACACTGAGCGGCAGAACAGGGCTGAGATAAATGCTGAAAAATGCGGCATGAAAAGGACCCGCACCCCAACAGAGAGGAGATTATCTTTCGGGGGAGGGGGCGGGAGCAGAAAAGGGCCGGTTAATTAATGACAAAATGCTGTTCTGGGGCCTTTGATTGATGGAAAATTAAAAGGATGCCTTGCTGAGAGCGTTGTTGGACCAAAGGCACAGAATGGGCAGGGGAGCCGTGCCCCTCGTGGGAGCCATCGATATGCGTGATGTCAGAGAAGGAAGGCCACTGGTGGCAAGGGGAGAGGAGCCGGGGGGGGGCGGGCCAGAGCAGGGGTGCATGGGTAGCAGGGCGAGTGTGTGCCAAATTTCACGTTTTCACATGCTCGCTTTAGCGGGACCTGCCTAACAACTTCTAACATAAAACACTGCCATTCTGAATGGTAAAATGGTTTTAAAGCTTCAGTTTATGGCAGTATATGGTCAGGATGCTTTTAGATGGAGCATGAATAAATCACCTCCATTATGTCCATAATTTGTCTTGAAACGTGCCAAAATGTCAAATATCATTATGATGACCATTGACGTTGTGAAATTGATATCAGGTCAAATTAATCTGAGATCCTGGATTGTTAAATTTTTTAAAATGTTTCAGCATTCTCATGAGAATAGAAGATATTCTAGAGCAAACATAAAATGTTTCAAGTAAGGTGCAGATAGACTGTAGAGACACAGAAGCCAACAGTGATGAAAATAACTACAGTTATTTAAGGAATCAGTATCTGGAGGGCATTTTATGGGGAAAGCAGTCTACTCACAATGTACATCCATCAAGGCAACACCATAAGCAGCTGAGTATGAATGCAAATGCACTTTCTGAAAATCATAAAAACCCCATACTGAACAAAGCGCATTTTTGGAGTGAGTGGAAGTCTCGCAATCATTGCTATTCTTGAGAATAAAAGGATAGTTCAACTGAGATCAGATTGCAAGGTGACACAATTGCAGAAGATTTTCTCTGTTAGCTAATCATAACTTGCTGTAGTTGAAACATAGAATGGATCTTCTTTGAACATCTGGCAACTGTTTCATTGCTAGAGAACACCCAGCTTCATCGGTCCAGAAGAAGGGAGGCGTTCTTGATATTATGCCATCTGACTAAGACGGAAACAATCATTTGTGTGTGCAAATTGAAGCAGCTGAAGTAGATTCCACTTCATTTGCTGTAAGATATTCTGCGTTCCTTTTCGTGAGAAGTCCCATGCAGCATTCAAGATAAATTGCTCATCACTACTGCAGGAGAATGAACAAGATGCTTGACATGGAGCTAGAATGATTTTCTAACATCACTTAAAAGCCCACAATCACGTAGACAGGAATGGCATGCTCTCCGTCGATTTCCTTCTGAGACCCTGCTTCTGTTTCCCATCGACTCAACTGCCGGCGAGTGTGTCTCATGATAGGGACAGCCTGCACAATCTACCCTTTTCAAATGTTCTGGAGTATGAAAGACAAACAGCCTTTTCTTTAGGACTAACTCAGTATCTGTATACAACCCAACAAACAAAGTATATGGTCCCCAAAGAGAATTTTAAAGTCAATGTTGTCTGCTTATTCTGACTGAAAATCCCTTTTTTGTGCTCCTTGCATGTCCATGTTTTCAATTTTGCAATAAATGTGCTAGAAATTTGCCCTTTGTGGAAGGGTCACTACTACTGAGTAAACTTTAATATGCAGGACTGCGGTGTGTGAATGTTATTCCAAATGTCAGTTTAACTTAGGAATGAGCATTTCTTGAAGTAATCACTATTCATATTTTTTAAATATTAATCAGACTATAGATGAGTTAATGAATTGCATATGTTATGTATGTGATATTTACGTTTCATATGAAGATATATTACTGAGAATGCTTAAAACGAATGTACACTAGTTATAGTTAGGATTTCAGTTTCTTGAGTAATTTAAAAGATTGTTTTATAATATGTTTGGGAAAGCTAGTGGCGTGATGTGACTATGTGGAAGAAAAATCAAGATAAAAATCAGGTATAAACAACTGAACCAACTTCCTCAGCTTGCTCTTCACAAACTACGTGAAAAACGCACTTTCCATTAACTGGAATGAATGTCTCCTGCCATCTAGTGGTGAATATAGGCCTATACAATAAAACAGCAATTCACGCTTAGACAGTTTTATCCGTGGGTCTCCTGGGCAAGGATTGAGAACCACTCATTTGTACAATTTAAGTACAAATAAGACACCCATAACTACGCACCTAGAAACAGCTAGATTCGATCCTCTGCATTTTTTCAATGTCGATCTAATCCATGTTGTGAAGACACCTACACTTGAAATTGCTCTGCAGTACAATTCTAATCACGATATCAACATTTTAGTGGCCTATGAAAAGAAAATCAAATATAAATTTCTTTGATGAAAAGCACATTTGGTACCTCTGACGTTGAACAAATGCAGAGATTGGACGGTTTGGTTCAATTAGTCAACCTGTTTAAGTTAAAGTTTGATTTCTCTGAAATCAAAACAAATTATACCTTTAGCAGACAGCTTAGATAAAACACACCTGATGCACTTCCTGCTTGTTAATCATGCCGAATCAAACTAAACTGTTTATCAAATCATCCAGCTGTTTTCCGGTCAGGAATCTTTCTGGCTAAGACACGCAACCTTAGAAAAAAGGATTGTTGTTCATCATGTGAATAATATGGCTTAAAAGTTTGATTTTCAATTTCCTAACAGTCAATTGTAATAAAAAACTGAAGCTTCTAACTGGATTAATGCTGACGTCAGAATGATCATGCAATGGCAGGTAAACTGTAGCTTTCCACTGTGGGGAGGAGCACAGCTGCGCTCGTAGAGAAAGGTTAAGCAGAAGCAGGGTCAGATAATGTTTAAATCATTAAGGGATTTATAAAAATCAAGAGTTACATTGTCGTAAAACTTTTAGGAATGTAAGAAAGTGAACTCAAGTTTCTTTAAAGCATTTTTGAGTTAAAGTAATAACCAACATGGTAAAGCTGAGCAAAATCCCTTCGCTATCTTGAATATTACTCCCACCATGAGAATTTGGCAAGCTGAATGTTAAGAATATTATACAAATTCCTTAATGTCAAATATGTGTGAGTTGGATTGATTCATTAAATTGTCTGTTCAATACTTCAGTCCATGAATACATTTTTTTCAGTATAAAAACAGCAGTTAATGTTTCCTTTATTGGTGGTCATGGTTAGATAGGCCTAAGTGGTACATTTCACAACCTCAAGTCCAAACTTGTTATACACACTTGGCAGTGCTGACAGCTGCAAGTCTGTTGGGGCAAAAGCCTCTCCCAGCTTTGCACATCTGCGTTGTGTAATATTACCCCTTTCCTGTGAGAACGGTTCTAGATCTGTCGACATGGATGTGATCATCAGCGGACAGCAATTTTAAGCCTTGCCAGGAATTCTCAGTTGCCAATCTAGGACATTTGTTTTTCTCTTTTTTTGTTTTTAGTTTTCATTCTTTTTATGCCATGTTGCTTATGTGCTTCAGGTCAGCACTGTTTTTATCGCAAATTTTAGAAAATGGATGGATGGATGTTCTTACAGCTGACATTATGGCGATAGTGACAATACTTCACAGTAGACCTAATATTGTGTAGTTTATGGGCTGTGCAGAATTTATAAATGCAAAATGCAGTGTTATATTTGCAAAATGCATGTTACATTCAGAGAAAATTGTTCAGTGTTTAATCTGAACTCAGCTTCTTTCTCAGTCTGAGACACGTTTATCAAATTGTTAGCCAGTTTTTTCTTCTTAGCTACTTACGTGCCACTTTGGGAGAATGGTCAGATCTTTCTAGCTGGTGTTGTGTATTTTCCACTCCTACATCATCGGATTGGCTCTCTTCCCAGAGATATTCAAAGTATCTGAAATCTCTTCTGCTCTGTGCTCATTGAAATCTATGAGGTGGAGTTGTTTTGAAGATCTCTTGGTCTTCATGGCTGTATCTTTGCTTTGAATACAGTACATCACTATGGAAGGACCTTAAAGAGCCTGAAATCATACAAAATGTTATTTGTGAAATGTGGACTTCAAATAAATTTGTGAATCTGAAGCCAATCGATCTCACTTCTGCTTAATTAAGAATATCATAGCAAAGGCGTGAGTTTAAGTTTAGGTTTATTTATGGGCTGCATTTGCTGTGTGGGTCCATTTGGCTCTACTTTTTTTGAACCTCTGTTTACAATCAACGAAGGATATAGTTGAGACTCAGAACACAGCCTGGGTCAGTTACAAATAACTGATTCAAATAAAACGCAAAATTGTAAAGACCATCACTTAATCTACATTATACACTTAAGTGAGAAATGTATTACCCTGCAGCAGGATAATTGTCCAGCTGGTTTTAAATGGTTTGCATCAGCATCCCTTCTGAGACATACCCCTGTCTTCTGTCCTGTGCTTCCTGGGGCTGCAGGCCCAGCCCCTGCCCCGTCCAGGTGGTGGGATGGTGGATAGGTGGTTCACATCACTAGTCAGCATAACTGTTGGTTTGTGTTTTCACCAGTACCCATGGCAATTTACTTCTTTGATATAATTGTTGATTTTCTGTAATTGAGATGCTCTTTTTTGTTTAAGTATGTTTCACGAGCACCAACACCTATACTACACTGCCCGGCCAAAAAAAAAGTCTCCATTTGAATTTTTCATTGGACCGCCTTTAGCTTTGATTATGACGCACATTTGTCATGGCATTGTTTCCACAGGCTTATGCAATGTTTCACCCTTTATTTTCATCCAGATTTGCATTAATTTCTAACCGAGATCCTGTATTGACAAGTGAGTTGAACCACTCCATAAAGCCTCCTTCATCACATCCCAGAGACCTTCAATGAGGTTAAGGTCACAACTCTGTGGCGACCAAGTCATGCGTGAAAATGATTCTTCATGCTCCCTGAACCACTCTTTGACAATTTGAACCCATTGAATCTTGGCATTCTTGTCCTGGAATATGCCCATGCCAACAGGGAAGACAAAATCCATTTATGATGGATGGAGGTGTAACCTGGCCATTCAGTAGATTCAGGTACTCAGCTGACTTTACTTTATTGCTGCATAATGTTGCAGAACTGTAATAATGATCCAGTCATTGGCTCTTCAGTATTTGCTGATATAAATTCAAATAACTTTTTTTTTGGCTGGGCAGTGTATTAACTAATAGTAATTGATTTTTTAAATGTAACTGTAAGGGCATTTGGATGTTAACTATTGAAACAAGTCGCATATTAAATATGTGTTTGAAAAAAACAGAACTAAACTCTGTCCCTGGACCTAGCCCTGCACCTGCCCAGGACCTAGACTAGCTCAGTGCTACTGTACTGGCCAGGGTGAAAATGAGCTCATTCCCTGGGTGGCCATCATAGAACCACAGATTCTACGGGATCTCTGAAAACCTTCAGCAGGTGCTAAATCACCAGCTAAGCCTTAAGCCTAGTTCATACTTCACTCTTCCGCCTGTGCTTTTGTGCTGCAAACAGACATGTGAGCAGAATCTTGTGCTCATACTACATTTGTCTGTGGACGCAGATGGGTGTGGTTGATAAGTGTATACAGCAGTGATACTCCACCAGAACAGCTTAGGGCAGATGTATTTCAACAAACACAAAATCAAGCAACACAATAAAACGGGTAAACTTTTCACGAACAGTTTTAAAGTTCTTAGAGTGCTATTAAGGTAACATGTTTTTTGAAAACAATATTTTGAAATCTTTACAATTTTATTGCCAAAATTTAAAAATTCTGGAACAATGTTGCCATTTACTGCAGTATAATATCTGGACAGTATGAGAAGTTAGATAAGAGGGAATCTCCGGGTCTCCTCATACACCTGCTAACCATAATTAGCACAACTATTCTTCTTCTACTCTAAGTTGACCTCACTGCTCCCTCCTACTGGAAACACTTTACTTCAGTTAATGCGCACCAACACACGTGATCTCAGGCAGACATAAAAATCTGCGCTACATGCACACCATCCACAGCTGTCCGGTGCAAACCCCTAATGACCAAATTTACGTCATTCACCCTTACACGGACCGAAATCACATGCGGAAAAGTGAAGCATGAATTGGCCTTTATTCCCTTCCTGCACTCTCACACTGAGGTGCGCCTAAAACTGCACTTACCCTTTACCTTTTGTTTAAAATTAAAACATCTTCCAGCATAGGTCTGTGCCTAAGAGTTCTTTCCTCACATACACACATACAACCTTCGTCTCTAAAGAGACTGCTGTGTGTAGAAGGTGAGCTCAACTAACCAATAATCCCTCTGATACGTCACAGGCCTGGGAGGACCCAGGGTGGGTCTCCACACCAGTACCCCTCATATGCCTGAAAACATCTCAAATGCAAACTGTCTTGTACAGATTCAAATGAGTAAGTGAAACATGAGCTTTAATGATTTGAACAGAAATTATTATTTTAGATGGAAGTACACACTCACAGGTGAGGTCAGAAATCTGTGTCCCTGGAGAAGTTACAGTTAAGGTTCTTGCTCAAGAACCCAACAGAGACATTATCACTCAGGCAGACAGGGTATTTAAACCAAACACTTTTTCATTATGGTGTGAGGCAACAGTTCTAACTACTGTGCCTCCCCATGTTATATTACTGTTTTGCTCTACATTACCTGTGCAACACAAATAACCAACAAATGTCAAAACACCATTGTAGCAGGAAAGCACATCTATAATCCGCATCAATCAGCCTTTTCAGAATCTCACAGCTCTTCCTCACCGTGCCGTTGTGTTTGGCTAACTGGAGACACATACCTTTACCAATCAAATTATCAATCCACACTAGGGTTTCCACTTTCCATCTGAAGAAATAGAGGACACCCCCTACAAATAATCGATCACACAGTCCAAAAATACGGGACAAAAATCACATTTCTTCTTGGTTCAAAACAGGACACAGCATTTCTATATGAGATACGTGGGAACAATAACCCTTAATAACAACTTAACTGCTGAACAAGCGAATTCTCCGGAGATATATATGCCCCCCCCCACCCCCCATCGCAAATGAATAGACAGATAACTATGACTCTTGGCTCTTCAATTTAGCATAGGTCTATACCAATGTCTCAATCACAAATCAACAAGGAATATTGACAAACAAATGAGTTTATCTTGTTTGATGGCTGAATTCACATTCTGGGGTACGTTATCCAAAATCATACCTGCTAACAACTTTAGCAACTTACATAGTTGGAATCACACAACTGAATGGTTCCAATTATATATGCTGCTAACAGGAGATTTTGGGAAACATACCCCAGAATGGTTAAATATGCATTAATCATCTTTGGGCTGAGGATGTGCAAAGAGCGCTCATAACTGGAACAACTCAGAGAGGCTCTGCTTCAATATGTGGGTTTAAAAATGCATTATAGTCCATAACTATCCAACCAACTATTAAACAGAATGTGATGAGAAATAATTTAAAGTCTATTAGCTTACTGGGGGAGGGGTGCTGTTTAGAGCTGTTTTTTTTCATGGAAATGGTCACTGTGATTATACATTGGCATTAAAAAGATATTTTACGTGATATGAAACTGGATTTCTCCCCACAGTCCAAAAACATGCTACGGTGAATTGGAGTTGCCAAACTGTCAGTAGGTGGGAACGTGTGTGTGAATGGTGTGTGTGCGCTCTATCCTAGGTTATTCCCTGTCTTTTGCTCATAGCTTCCGGAATACACTGTGGACCTCTGTGACAAAGAATAGGACAAGCAGGTACAGAAAATATACGGATGATAGACTCAATTAAATTTCCTTGTATTTCTATAATGACTATATTTCAGAAAAGGGTGCACCAAAAAACAATTTTTTTGTCATTACTTTCTAAACATCAGCTTACCAGGTTAATGGTCACAGAAATGAAGGGTCGGGAAATAGGCTAAATAGGGCTACATTTAAAGCTAATTAGTAAGCATTGGAAATATTTAGGACTACATTGTCATGAATATTTTAATATTTACTATAATGACTAATATATTATCTGGTCTGCTTTATTATATCATCACATGCTTAGTGTCTAGTGTTTGCTTCACTAAAATTTTTTGTCAAGATCCTTACTGTGTAGTGCACTCTGTATTGTGGTCGCCATCTTGCATATTACCTAACCAAGGCGTTTACCAATGACATAATTAAAAACTGTTAGAACCTATAAAGAAAAAATACACAATCAAGTCAACTAATCTGACTGGGTATTGTTTTCTACTTGAATTTGTACAGAGATGCCACCTACTCCGCTATCTCGACACAAATTTCTGAGCAAACGACGGTTGCATCTCCAGTGGCATTATGGGGAAGCGTAAAAACAACCACTTGCACACTTCGCAGAATGCAGTATGCCATCCAGGTACCGTCTAATTCCTACTAAGGATTCGGATGTACTGCTCACTTCACATACTACACTTTTGCCTACTACTTATCAAACAAATGTGCAATTTTGGATGCCCCCATTCTGTTAATGGGGGATTTGTTATGCTGCAGTTTTGGGACTGTACAAGCTGCCAACATTAAACACCAAAAAGTAGACTGTGCTTTACCGGGGGAAAGGTGGTTTGGCCGGTCGGTACGATGGGAGGCGGGGTAAATTTTGCCATCTGAGGGTGGGGCACGTAGTATTCGGTAGATTTTGCGTGAAAAGGGAACTTGACGCAATGTTTCCGCCCCCTTCGATCTGAGCAGTCCAATCACAGTGAGGAATAATATCCCATGCTTAAAGCAGCTTGTTTTACCACTGCAAACCAAACAGCCGATAACAAAAAAAAAAACAAATACCCACCAAAAAGGTTTCAGACAAACGCAGAAACCCCAAGTCCATCCAAATGCCTAAGTAATGTTGTAAAAACAAGCCAAAACACCAATGCAATTTCCGGTTACAAACCGGCCGGAACCCTCGTCACCCTCATACCGGAAGTGAGTATCGAAGGACGTGGATTCGCCCACCTGGAATGAAGGTTCCGCCCTCCGCGACTGGGGCAGTATTGACATTAATGATGGCGGCGGTGGATCAGTCGCCTTCTGATTTGACTGATAAAGAAACCAGGGAAAAGCTGTCTCTTTGGGATCGTCGAACAGATCCCATGGCTCCGCTGACGGAGAAGCAGACAGACTCAATCATGGAGATCCGCGCAGCTGCCGAAACGCTTCCAATTCCCTCGGAGGTGAACGGCCGCTTCTTCAATATTAAGCTGCAATGGACAGCTAGTTCACATGCGATCACGTAGCTGAGTTTTAAGTCGTTGCTCTGGGTATATTAGAGTTTAATCTCAGCGATACTCATTTGCTGATCATATAATTTTATTTTGTTATATCCGTTTAAAGCAAGATATCATGTGGTAAAAACTGCTTAGTATGTTTCTACAGCCCTCTGTTATAGCCAGGGTATTAGCAATATAGTTAGTGGCTTTTAAATTTTTAAAAGCCTGTTTACAAAATTATGTCTATTGACCCATAGAATTAAAATACTAAAACGCATATGTCAACATTATCCTTTGTCATTTAGATTTTGGTTTCTGTCTGGTTTATATTCGTAATAACAGAACTGCTCCACGTTCACGTCTCAGATATGCCATTAAAACTTCTTAACAAGTGCAAATTTCCAGATAATTGAACGACCCACCAATAAACCATTCATAGTCGATAATATTTTTGGCCACCTGAACACTGTCCTTTTCAGAGCTTCTCACTAGGTTATTATAACAGTGTAAATAAGTTTTGTTTTTTGTTTTTTTTTTTACTGAAGCCTGTAGATATTTCATTAAATCAATTATTCCACTACTATGCGTGCTTATTGCTTCCCCAGCTTGTTCTCTAAGCTCTCAAAGTTTTGTATGTGACTCATTTTATGAAATAACCTGATTGCTTTTTATGTGGAGCAGTAAAGTTAAAATAAAACTGTAATATCTGGTTCTGCTGCTTTGCTGGTTAAAAACTGATTTTGCAGTTATCTTATGTCTGCCCATATACTAAGTGTTAGCTGAATATGATTGTGGATGACTGTGTACATGCCTCCATGTGTCCATTTCCATGTGATAACTGATTGGTCAGTCTTGTGCCTGTCATATGTAGCTGCCCATTGAGGACTTGTGTAGCCTAACGTCCCGCGCTCTGCACTCCCCATTCACGACCACAGTGCCGGCGTCTACCGAGGACATTCTACTGAAGGGCTTTCAGTCACTCAACATGGAAAGTGATAGGATAGAGACGGCTCAGCAGGTCAGTGCTCTTCGCTTATGCATGGGAGGCCAATCTTGGTGTGACACTGTTCCCTGTTTTATTAAAAAGCATATTCAGAAAGGCTGATTCCTCCCTTTTGTCTGTCTTCCGGCAGTTTTTTTCCTGGTTTTCAAGGCTGCAGTCACAGATGGATCGGGACGAAGGAGAAAAGTACAGGTATGGGGATGGGAGGGGTGACAGAAATGTTATTTTACCCTGTTATAGCCCAGTAATGGCAGCACTTGTATTTTAATGCTAACGCATATAAGCAGAATTCTTGGGTACTGCTAGTTTGACTTTGTGTCAAACAAGCAATTTGTAACGGAGTCCCGAATCAGGCACATTACCTGCATTGTGAGGGAGCGTCAGTTATGGCACTATGGCCATATGGCACGATTCCCCAAAGGTGATTCGGCTCGCAGGATCCTTCTTGCTGAGGACCCGAGCGGCTGGACCAGGTCAAGGGGATGACCGTGTAACACCTGGCTACAGCAGATAGATGGCCATTTCTAGATGGTGGGACTGGACCGCCAGTCTGCCTTGGGGGTCGCCAGCCGGGATCCCAAGGTGTTTTGTTGTGTGGTGGGTGTGGCAATGGGCTGCACCACCTGACCTGACCTGACCTGCATATAAGCTGTCCAGTTGGGACACCCTAACATGACTGTTTTTCAGTGATGTTTTGCTTTATGATTGGCTGAGAAGCTGTGCGTTTTGATTGGTTTCACTTTGGTAAAATATGAATAGCCATCAGTTGAGTTTGTCTGTGGAGAGGGCAATTAGAAGTCTTGTAATGTAATGCATATGTAATGTGACATTTTACACCTGCATATGTGATGTTTAACACATTCTCATATATAGACAACTCAAAGCACTTGGGTGTAACTGTAGGTGAGTGGGTACAAGGTGACTTTTTCAGGAAAAGAATCTTTATTACCTGAAGTACACCTTTTCGTGGTGCTGTTCAGTAGGTGTCCGTCATGATCTCTGTTCAGCTGGTCATAGACAGGCAGTGCCCTTGATGGTCCAGGAGCGGTGTAAGCTCATGGCTCTCCCCCGGCAGAACAACGAGGGATGACCTGAGTGGGTACCAGGAGCAGTGCGATGCCATCTTGGCCGATGTGGATGCGGCGCTGCAGCACCTGGACTCCCTTCAGAAGCAGTACCTGTTCGTGTCCACCAAGACGGGCACACTTCACGAAGCCTGCGAGCGGCTGCTGTTGGAGCAGGTGACTGCCGAGTTCCCTGCATACCCATGTGCCCTCTGACCTTCTGGCTGTAGAGCAGGGTTCCCCAGTTAATTGTTTCCTGAAGGCCAAATTCTGTCACCAACACAAAGTCAAGGGGAACTGACCCTGATATCATGCTGTTAGTGCTAGTTGTGCTAGTTTAAGATACATTTGCCGCATGGATGTTGGGAGTGTGTGTGTGCTGACAATCCCTTCCATTTTCCCCTGACTCTTGCCTCATGGTAATGCTACCTTAGCTGGAGCATTACCCCCCCCCCCCCCCCAATTAACTGTTCTTGGTGGCGTTCTTCTTACAGTCTGAGTTGGTGGACCTGGCAGAGAGCATACAGCAGAAGCTGTCCTACTTCAATGAGCTGGAGAACATCAACACGGTAGTTGGCCTTATGTTGATTTAAAACCCGAGGCGGCACATTATAATGATTAAAATAACAAGTCCTACCACTTAACCAGTGTAACAAGAATAATAAGACCGATAGCAATGATAATATCGGCGTTATTAATCATATAATCTTCTGGTTTTTCAGAGACTGAACTCCTCCACTTTATCTGTAAACAGCGAGGGTTTTATTCCAATGCTCTCCAAATTGGATGACTGTATAGAATATGTTTCCTCACATGTAAGTAGCCAGTACACCATGTTGCGATTTACAGCGGTATTGATGTAGCTGTAGTCTACATCAAGGTGATTAAATGCATTAAATGACTTAACATTCCAGTAAATTCATTACCACTGTGCTGATAACACAAATAGTGTTCTCTGTCTGAAATGATTCAATCTTAGCCTTTTTGTTTAGTAAACGGCCACTTTTACTTTCCTTCCCTACCTCAGCCAAACTTCAAAGACTATCCAGCCTACATGGTGAAGTTTAAACAGTGTCTCTCCAAGGCCATGTTCTTCATGAAGAGCCACACCGTGAATACGCTGCAGAATCTCACCAGCCAGCTGATGAAGCGGGTCTGTGCTGTGCAGCTTCGGCTGACGTCACGCGGGCTTGCTGTGTTGGGCCAGTGAACTAATTTCCCAAGGCACCTCTGTCTCTGTTCTTCTCCCAGGACCCTCTGGGTGCAGCCAGTGTGGATAACGCCTTCACTCTCTACTATGTGAAATTCCGGGCTGCCGCCCCCAAAGTGAAAGTACGTGAAACGATCCATCCGGCCAGCATCAGTATTGATACAAGTTTTGATTTTTAAATTATTTTCATTTGAAATCCGGATTAGTTTTCGTTTTTAGTGTGGCTTTATTAGTTTTTATGCAATGTGTATTTCTGTTTTGTTTTTATAAGTTTTAATTTCAGTTTAAGTAATTTTATTTCTAGGGATAGACTAAACATGGTAGCATTATTTTGGGTGTCTGGCCTTTGTGTGTCCTACATGAATACACAGTGTACAGCATTTACTAATTTCCTCAAAATACGCAAAACATGTTCCAGGTATTATTAACGGTCATTAAAGATTAACAAATCATTACTTTAGCTAAATAATATTAAAAAACGATAAAGGAAAGTATTTCACTTTTGTTTAATTTCAGTTATTTTTGGAGGCAATAGGCTACTCATAGCTTGTGTTTGGTTTTATTTAGTCGTTTTATTTTTTTTATGGACTATATTTATTGTTTTATTTTGGTTTTTGTTTTAACGATAATCGTGACCAGCACAGGTTGTTTAACTTCACCATGTATGTTTTGATTATTTTCTTACAGTGAAGGGTTTCTTTGTACATGTATGTCTCCTGCTTTCAAAATAAGCTGCCGTGTGTGTGTCTCACAGACGCTGATAGAGCAGATAGAGCAGCGGTCTGAGAAGATACCTGAGTGAGTACCTGTGCTCACCCTGATGCTAACACCTCATTTAGGAACTCCTCCTGAACAGGTTTTTAAATGATAGATTTGTTGCAAAAGTTATCCTACGGTAATTTTGAATACGCACTAGGATTTTTTTGGTTTTATATTTGAGATTCCATAATCACACACCATATGTGACTTACCCTCACCCAGCGCCCACCTCGCATGTTTCCCCGCCTTACCTGCTTAATCAGAGACCTCCGCCCTGCCCTCTACAGGTATCAGCAGCTGCTGGGGGAGATTCACCAGAGCTACCTGGACCAGAGGCAGGTCCTCCTGGCCCCAAGCATCAGTTCCACCATCACAGACCTCACCAGCCAGAACAACAAGGACCACTGTGCATTGGTGAGAGGACCTTGCTCTTGCCGTCAGAACTGTTGCCTTTTGGGTATGATGTCATCAAAGGTCACGATGAAGCCCAGTACTTTTCAAGCACTGAAAAGCACTGAAAAGCACTGGGGCAGTGGGCGATGCTGATGAACACGCATGTTTGCATCACCCGTGTTTTTGGCGCAGGTCCGCAGCGGTTGTGCCTTTATGCTCCATGTGTGTCAGGACGAACATCAGCTCTACAGCGAGTTCTTCTCCAAACCCACACCAAAGCTGGAGTGAGTACAGCTAGGATTCCTGAGATTCCCATCTGCCCTGTAGTGATAACTAGGGATGTAACGATACACTCAACTCACGATTCGATGCAATTCACGATTCTGAGTTCACGATATGATCTTCTCACAATTTTTTTTGCAGAATGAGCTGCAGACAAATTTATTCAAAAATATTCCTTTATCTTTCTAAACTGTGCAAAATGTGTTCTTCTTAACAGCGCAACTGAAATTGAATAAAATACTGTTTTAAAAAAAATCCCAAATCAAAATAAGTAAATAAAAAAAAAAAATCTTTAAATAATTAAACAAAGGCTTGCATGTGCAGCTTTTTAGCATGATTTGCCCTTTTATTAATCTTTGCTCGGCTCACTGTGCTGCCGGTGGACATGCTGAAGCATGTTCATTGTGTTATTTGTGTATGTTATCAGTCTCTTACAATGCTATGACCCTTTTCTCAGTGAGCTCCTGGAAAGGCTCTGCCTGTCCCTATACGATGTGCTTCGGCCTCTCATCATCCACGTCATCCATCTGGAGACCCTCTCGGAGCTGTGTGGAATCCTCAAGAATGAGATGCTGGAGGATCATGTCCAAAATAATGGTAATAGGAATGGTTTTACCCAGGCTATGATCTGGCTTATAAGTGACCTGGTGCTATGGTCTCTAACGTGACAGGTCTTCTGCTTGCAGCTGAATTGTTTACCCTGTAACTGATGTACAACACTCAGTGTTTGCTAAAGCTATTCAGAGTGTTTACTTTACTCCTGGGGGCATTTTCAGTTCACTGCACTTGAACCATGGTGTACTTCCTCTTGCCAATTAATGTTGACGTTCGTCCTGTGATCCGGATTATCTTTTATAAATAACACTGAATTATCTGGTGCTATAGTCATGCATGTAATTTTTTATGGATGATATTGGTTTTATGCTGAATTCTGACTCTCTCTCCCGCCAAGGATTAAAATCACCTGCTGGCGAATTTATATTGCATCACTTCGCATGAGTTTTAAAAAGCTGCCACTATCTGTCGTTCTCGTCACTTTGCATGGTAGAGCCTCCAGACGCGATGAGGGGTTTTTCTCAGCTGTTCATGTTGCTCCCGTATTTTCATAATGGTGCCCCCATCCTGATGTAGTTGTGCAGCTGGGGGCCTTTGAGGCGGTGGTGAAGCAGATGCTGGAGGACGTGCAGGAGCGACTGGTCTACAGGACGCACATCTACATCCAGACCGACATCACTGGCTACAACCCCGCGCCAGGGGATCTAGCCTACCCTGACAAGCTGGAGATGATGGAGGTATGCCTCCTGTCCCGTCCCTGTCCCGTCCCTGTCCCGTCCCGTCCACTTAGCTCCCAACAGAGACATTTTGGGTCTTTTAGAAAATCGCCCAGAGCCTGAAGGAGGAGCAGATGAAGCTCACCGCCTCAGATCAGTCCTTTTCAGATGTGCAGCTGGAAGATCTGGAAGCGAGGAAAGCCGCCAGTCCTGGTGGGTGTTAAACCCTTGGCCCACTGACAGGAGCCCATGCCATATCCGTATGGAGCCTCACGCCGATCCCAAAAGTCAATCCTGTGGAGTAATGACATGTTATGTAGGTTCTTTTAGAAGTTCCCTCATACCAGCCGTACACCCAGAAAATCCAGCACAGGGTCTTAAGGGTCCTGGTTGCCAGCTGGGGTAGAACAGGACACTGGAGGCAAACATTTAGGTCCAGAGCTTGGAGTGGGAATCGAGTCTAAACCAGATCCATAATGCCTCTGCCCCTCTCCCTCCCAGGGAGCACAGGGGCCTCGCGGCTGCAGGGCTCCATCTCGCCAGCCGACCTGCATGGCATGTGGTACCCAACAGTGAGGCGCACCCTGGTCTGTCTCTCCAAGCTGTACCGCTGCATCGACGTGAGTCTTGCCCTGGCTCCCAGAAATCCTGAAATGAACCAGATGACACATGCATTTAAAGGCGGTCTGATTCTGTTATGGCTGTGTAGTGAACCAGTATGGAAGGATGATTCCTGTTCAGGAGAGGAACAACTAGGCACTGCTTCCAGTCTCCATTGCCGGGTCTCCACTGCCGGGTCTCTGTAGTGATCTGCCCGTGTCTGTCCTTCCAGAGAGCAGTCTTCCAGGGCTTATCACAGGAGGCGCTGTCCGCTTGCATACAATCTCTGCTGAAGGCCGCAGACATCATCATGAAGAACAAGGTCAGTCCAAGCACACCGTGATTCACTTGTAGAGGTTTGCAGGTCTTAGCTAATGTAACCAGTGAATCATGATGAAGCCTTTTATTCCCCTCATTGAAATTTGTGGGGTTCTGCTGTCTCCTTATAAGGATGAATTCTTGAAGTAGGGCATTTTGGGATCCCTTAGACCCCAGGAGTCTTAATTTTGGCCCTCCAGTTTGATTTCTTCAGGTTCCTGAGAGAATCTTTCTACTGCCCAGTTTTGGCTTTGGGTTCCCTGTATACTAGACGTGTCGCCTTTTAAAAGCGGGCGGCTTGACTCGATCAGATAGGCATAATGTGTCACATGACAACCCTTCCCCCTCCCGCAGATGCAGATCGATGGGCAGCTCTTCCTCATCAAACACCTGCTCATCCTGCGGGAGCAGATCGCTCCTTTCCACACTGACTTTGCCATCAAAGAAATTTCCCTGGACCTGAAGAAAACCAGGGGTGAGAGGCAATAAATTGACTGATTTGCTATTTTGCTACAACATTCCTGGTATTTGCCATAAACAATTATCCATTTACACATTTTATTCACAGAAAATTCTATAAGTGAACACCAGATGGAGCTCTTGTCATTAAAATGCAATTTATTGAGTAATGTCTTTGACAATTTTAGATGCTGCATTCAAAATCCTGAATCCCAAGAAGGTCCCCAGTTTCTTCAGACTCAACAGTAATAATGCTATCCTTGAATTCCTGTTAGAGGTAACCTTCCACTCATGATAACTTGATAACTGTAGGATGACATACTAGTAATTACTGGAAAAGCCCCCACATCATAGATTTTATTTCTCAGTGGCAGTGCTCATGTCGGTATACTCATCTTTTCGGCGACACCTTGCCTCTTCTCTTGTGGCTCTACGTTGTGTTGGCTTTGAGGACATTAAGGCTGCCTCTCTGCTTGTGCCTCAGGGAACACCAGAGATCAAGGAGCACTACATCGACTCCAAGAAGGAGGTAGACCGGCACCTGAAGTCCAGCTGTGAGCAGTTCATCCAGCAGCAGACCCAGCTCTTCGTGGCCGGCCTGGAGGATTTTCTGGCCAAGGTATAACTCCAAAGCTGAAGAGAGATCAACTGCTGTTAAACTGGTCATGAGGGGTGACATTTGAAGCCCTTGAATCATTAGTTCTTCCTCTTGTGTTGGTAATACAGGTTTCCGCCCTCAAAACCATGGCAATTCAAGGGGGGCCAACGTATAACCTGTCTATGCAGCCCTGGGCACAGCCAGGTAAGAGGCCTATCTGCCCAGTCTACCCTGCGTTGAACACTCCTTTCAGACTCATTTTCCATCTGAAAGGTTAATGTTAGCTCATAATTAACATTGCATTTGTCCTTATTGCTCTGGACTGGTGAGCACACTAAAAAACAAACAGCACATTAACAGCTGGCTGTTTATCCCCGCGTAGCTAAGATCAACGACGTTGTGATGGCCACCTACCGGGTGATGAAGACCAAGCTGCCCGCAACGCTCCACAGCATGTCCTTGTACCTGGCCAATAAGGACACGGAGTTCATCCTCTTCAAGCCAGTCAGGGTGGGTGTTAACAGTGCGCCATCTGCTTGGGGAGCTGATGTGTGGATCTCTTCATGGGTGGCAGGTGTGCGGTAGGGGTAGGTGCAGGTCTGGGAGGAATTAGGTACCACCTCCGCTCTGGCTTTCATGCTGGCTCCCGCGTGATGCCTTTGCGCCTGTAGGCCGGGCCGCCGCTGGCTCCCACGTGATGCCTTTGCGCCTGTAGGCCGGGCCGCCGCTGAAACGGCTCAAGCTCCTGGGCCGTCGTGGGCTCCTAATAACTCCGAACTGACCGTGACACCATCTCATCTTTTTCAGAATAACATCCAGCAGGTGTTCCAGAAACTCCATGGCCTGCTTCAGGAGGAATACAGCGGGGAGGACCTCCAGATCATAGCCTGTCCCTCGATGGAACAAGTAATTCCCTGTGTATTCTGGCCAGAGAGCCCCGTCTCACTCAGTCATTCAGAAATGTTTGTTTTCCAAGAAAGCTGCTTGGATGATTGATATCAGAAGGGTGAGTAATTGATGAGTGCATCCAACGTAACAAAATGTATGGGATTTCTCGTACAGGTTAACCTGCTGCTGTCGGTGAACAAGTAAGCCCCCCCCCTGACCCCACCCCCAAGATGATGAGAGTGTCCTCCAGGCAGGAGAAGCCGGGCTTCCCTTCGGTGGCGATGGCCCGGTGTGGTCTTGGGCCTCGTGGACAGGTCCTCCACGACAGACGACATTTGGGTTGCGGTGCTGCTAAACAAAGCCTCGTGGTTCTGGGTACATTCACCTCAGAAAAAAAAGTAAAGAAAAATCAAACTGTTTTTTGTTTTGTTTTGTTGTTTTTTTAAATTTTGTTTAAACACTTCCACCATGAAATTAAATCTACAGCCGCACCTTTGACGCATTTAGCCCTCGTTTGGCAGGGGTAAGCTGCAGTGATGTGCGACCTGAAGCCTCTGCTGTTACCGCAGCATTAATGAGACTCACTCTGAGGAGTGACGTGACGGGAGGCAGAAGTTTCTGCTGGTCATGTGACTCCACATTCAAACCGTAGCAGTGACAGGCTGGCTTCTGTAGCGCCGGGTATAGTTTTTCTGTTGTATGGGGGTTTGAATATTTAACTGAATTTATCCTGTAAATGGGGAGAAATTAATATGGTGTTTTAATCTCAGTTTTCGATTTCACTGTTAACCCATTACCTCCTTTTTGTTTTATTTTCTGTCCATTTTCTTATTTATCTTTTTCGATCATATTTGTTTCTGTGCCTTTTGTATGCCTCTGTTACACCCTGTAGTGTATGCATACGCCCTGTTGCCCTTAAATGCTCCACGCTGTGTCAATTGGATGAAAATAACAGCAAATGAAAGCCAAGCTAACACACAGGAGTCTTGTTTAGTGTAGGCTTACCCTTAGACCCGGGTCGAAAATAATCCCATATAGTAATATTGTTATACTTCATATAAGGGCAACTGACTGACTTCATTCACCATTGGGGGTTCCCTTCTCCATGGCATTTCCCCCCATATTTGAAATGTTTTGTTTATTTTGTTATTTTGAGATGGGAGTATTTGATATTTTTATCTTGCACTATTTTTGATCAATAGATTGTGATCCAAATCTTATTTGAAATGGGTAACTAAGCATCGCATAGTTTCCCTGAGAAAATGAAGAGATGGGAATAGTAGAATTTCTATAATTTTTATATTGTAAAACCTATGCAAGATAGAGAAAATGCACCTGACAATATGCTCATGTTTTGAGAGTAGTGACACATTTCTGTTTTATCCCTCTGGCCACAGAATGACATTTGTAGTGTATAGAATTCATGCCCCTCACCCCCCATTTGATGAGTGTTTGTTTTTTGTGTTATGTGAAAGGAGGGTTAGACCTGTCTCAATGCTTGTCAGGCATCCTCTAAGACAGGGTTTCCCAACCCGGTCCTCAGGGATCCCCAGACAGTTCATGTTTTTGCTTCCTTCCAGCCCCCGGTACAAAAAAATGTGAACTGCCTGGAGGTCCCCAAGGCCTGGGTTGGGAAACACTGCTCTAAGGCACAAAGCACTTTGCCGAAGCTGTAAAAAGCCAGGCGTTGACTCCTTCTGGAGCCTCCCTGTCCACTTTTGATGCGCAGGGTGTGACAGCACTCTTAGCATGCATTCCTCTGTGTTCGCCTCCTTCCTGCCTGTTTTATTTTAGGGAAACTCCCTCATAATGTCACTCAGCCCTAATATTCACAGTAATATTCTATAACAGTATGAGCTCCAGTGTGAATCTCAAGGATGTGTAATGATTAAATGAGATTTGAAGTATGATGAATCACCAATAAACATAGCTTAATATGGATTTAAATTCACAAGCTTCTTCATGTATAACTGTGTGTATATAACTGTAAACTCTGAAAATTCATAGTAATTTAATAAACCCTGATTTTTCTCCAATCTCTCTTAAAATATTTCTGCTTCCAACCCAAATTATTGCACCTTTGCATTTTATGACATCTCTTTGTTTCATTTCAGCATTAATTTTTACATTAACTCGCAGAACGCTGGAGCAGCTCTTCATCCTCAGAAGGATACTGGAGGGGTCATGGGAGTTTGTCCAAGCAGTCTACATCTGGTTTGTGAATTCGGAAAAGGCATACGATCATATTCCTTGGGGGTCCTGTGGGCCGTACTTCAGGAGTATGGGATACGGAGTCTATTGCTGTGGGCAATCAGATCCCTGTATAAACGTCGCAAGTGTTTGCTTCACATGGCCAGCAGTAAGTCAGACTCATTCCCGGTGGGTGCTGGACTCCGCTAGAGTTGCCCCTTTTCACTAATTCTGTTCTAGGTGGAGGGGGTCCAGTTTGGGGGGCCTCAGGATTATGCCTTTGCTGTGTGTAGATGATGTGGTCCTGCTGGTGTAATGACCTGCAGCTGAGTGTGAAGCGGCCAGCATGAAGATCAGCACCTCCAAGTCTGAGGCCATGGTTTTCAGCCAGAAAAGGGTGGATTGCCCTCTCCTGGTAGGAAATCAGTTGCTGCCTCAAGCGGAGGAGTATCTTGGGGTGTTATTCACAAGTGAGGGAAGAAGGAATTGGGAGATTGACAGGCAGATCGGTGCAGCATCGGCAGTAATGCGGACACTACGGTTCTGTTGTGGTAAAGAGAGAGCTGAGCTGGAAGGCAACGTTTTCGATTTACCAGTCAATCTGCATTCCTGCCCTTACCTATGGTTATGAGCTTTGGGTAGTGACTGAAAGGAAGAGATTGTAGATACAAGTGGCAGAAATGAGTTTCCTCAGGGTGTTGGGGCTCAGTCATTCTGGACTGGATAAATGCAGAGGTGCTGCTCCTATGCAGAAAGGAGCCAGCTGAGGTGGTTCGTGCGTCTAGGATGTCCCCTGCACACCTCCTAGGGAACGTGTTTTGGGCATGTCCAACTGGGAGGGGGCTCAGGACATGCTAGAAAGATGACATCTCTTGGCTGGTCAAGGAACACCATGGGATTCCCCCGGTACAGCTGGAGGAGGTGGCTGGTGAGAGGGAGGTCTGGACATACCTGCTTAGACTGCTGCCCCTGCGACCCAACCCCAGATGAGCGATGGATTAGGGGAGTACTGGTCAGTGATGAAGGTCCAGATATGGTGTAACAGACAGTAAATTTCCGGACTCTAGGTCTTAAGGTGTCTGCCCAAGATGTTCAGTCTAGGCAACACAAGATCTGGGTGTTGCAGCTGAGAGAAAATCCAACAAGTACTCTGTTCAGAAAAAAGCATAGAATGTCTTATGCTGGCATTATGTGGTGTAGTAACCAAAATATGTGATTATTCAAGTGTATTTTGGCTGGATATGATCCAAGCACTATGCTTGGAATGCTCCCAGAAATATTGTGAGCAAAACACCACCAGTTTTTTTTTTTCTCTATGCAGACCTTACTTCTGGTGATATTGAGGGTCCATGTAAGAGCCTGACCTTGAGTCGAGCACCGACGTTGAAGCATGCAGTGCCCTTGTGGGATGTGAAGGTGAGGTATATGCGACTTTGGCAGTGGATGTGAGCCCCAATGTGGGTACCTAGGAGAAGGAGGATTGGCTGGAAGGGGGCTGGCCGGACGTGTGTGCCGTGCTCAGGCCAGTTCAAGCGTCACTTTAGTTCCCCAGTTTTGCTGAAATAAACCCAAGTCTCCCACCTGGGTCAAATTCAGCCTGATAGGATATAAGATAACCTTTATTAATCCCACAGTTGGGAAATTTGTATTGTTACAGCAGCCAAGGACGGTGCAGGAGGAGTAAATGTAGCACAACAATACAATCATACATGAAAAACTCTACAATTAACAAACAATATAAAAATAAACATATACATATGTGTACAAAAGTGGTCATCTACAGATGCCTTGAAGCAGCAGAAATTGTATGATTGAAAATAGCAGCATAAATGGCAATATTTGAACACTGCACAGCCTAGTTCTTATTCTTGAGAACAGACCAGCCAAGTCTGTTCGGATGATAGCTGGTCGACTCCCCCCTGGAAGTGAAGATGATCCTAATACTGGCTTCAGTACGTCTGTCTTCCAGAACATCATATGTAGGTGAAATCTTCATTGCCCACAGATGAGATGATGGCATTTCTCCCTGAAGGGTAGCTATTTTCAGGTTTAGGAATGTGTCTCTGGCTCAGATGTATGGAAATATGGATGTATGACGTGTTAAATGACAGTGATCCAGCAGGAATCCAGCATGAAGAAATAGTCGGGAGAGATAACTGAAACTCACCTTCATCCTGCCAAAGGGTGACAATATCAACAGGGTCTTCAGGGGGTAGAGCTTCCTCCTCAATGGCCCAGAGCTTATTAGACAATTTTAAGGAGATGGTTCTGCTCTGGATGTCTCCTTAAACCCCGTAGAAAGCAAGACTGTGGCCATAGGTATACGATTCAAGATTGCCTCCTGATCACAGCCTATTTTACCAAAATGTACTCCAATGCTGTTGTTAAGGTTAAAAATGTTACCAGCTGAAGTGGAGCAAACAGACTTTCAAATATTAAAATGTTAAAGTGATGAGGTTCAAATCATCTACTTGCCACATAAATTCTAAAGTACAGTGCCCTCCATAATGTTTGGGACAAAGACACATTTCCTTGATTTACCCCTCTGCTCCAGAGTTTAAAATTTCAAATCAAACAATTCAGACATGATTAAAGTGCAAACTCCAGATCTTAATATAAAGTTATTTGCATACATTCACTTTGTAGAAATTACAGCTCATTTTATACACAGTCCCTCTCATTGCAAGGATCCATAATGTTTGAGACATTTGGCTTCACAGCTGTTTGCGATTACGCTGGTGTGTGTCATTGCTACATTAGTGCAGGGATAAGATACCTAGGCTTGCTTCTACCATTTGGAGTCTGTAGTTGCTATTGTTACATATGAGGAGAAGAGCTGTCAATGAAAGAAGCTGCTATGAGGCTAAAAAACAAGAATAAAACCATTTATAGACCTTGTTCAGATCTTACAAAATTAACTGTCTGGAATGTCATTAAGAAGAAAGAATGCACTAGTGAGCTCAGTAATCACAAAAGGACTGGAAGGCCAGTGAGGACCTCCACTACTGATGACAGAAGAGTCCCCAAACGCCTGTCCAACAAATCAGAAACAGTCTTCAGGAGGCAGGTGGGTCTTTGTCAGAGACTAAAATCTGTAGAAGGCTTAATGAACAGAAATACAGAGGCTACACTGCAAGATGCAACCCACTAGTGAGCCACAGAAACAGGATGGCCAGATTACGGTTTCGGAAAAAGTACTTAAAAGAGCCTGTAGAATTCTGGAAAAAGGTCTTATGAACAGAGACCAAGATTAACTGGTATCAGAGTGATGGTAAGAAGAAAGTGTGGAGGCAAAAAGGAACTGCCCAAGATCCAAAGCATACCAGCCCATCTGTTATACATGGTGGTGGGACTGTAATGCTTTGGGCATGTATAGCTGGTTATTGTACATATATACAATATCCAACAAATTATCTGGCTGGTTTAATGAGCCACAAATAAAATGTAAGTACTAATAAAGAGTATACGACTACAGCTTTAACTTCTGTTGATAAAGAGCACAGCTTTAATTCTAAGGTCAGAGTTTCCTCAGAGTTCCCACGTCGGAATTCCGACTTTAGGGGGAAATTTCCGACTGAGAACACGGAACTTCTGAGTTACGAGTTCAGATGGAATGCAGCATATTTCATTCTGTTACGCCATCCAGACATCATACTACAGTATAATTTGCCAAGGGGGTCCTCCCATGATAAAATCTGATGCTGCTCAGCTCATGGTACACCGCAATACCTCCCAAGCCGACTCACCACAGCACATTTCAAGGACACTAGATTTGAATCAAGCCCCAGGACTGTGAGGACTGTATGTGTGACTCCTGTAATGGACTGCCATCAATGTAACTGAGTAAAATACGACAGATAAATGAGAGAGTTGTTGCTCCCACTAGGAGCAGGTTAAATTTGGATCTTTGCATCCTTACTTCTGCACTGCCTGATCCACTGCTGCTGCCTTCTCCTGCTTCCTCAGGAAGGGAAGATGACAGCTCACGTCGATCTTCAAAGTCTTCTTTTTCGCTATTAAGGCTCTCTCCTCCTCTAAAAGTGACTCCCACATCCTTCCAGCCAATTCACAGCAAAAAAGCTGCATACAAGAAAATGACCCACAAATGGCTGATGGCAGCTTATGTTTATGGTTGTGATTTATCTTCAGAGTAGAAATGGCCTAAACAAAGGACAAAATACTACAAAGATCAAATAGCCGCTTGTACTACCTCTTGACCGGAATATTTTTGGTAACAATACCCAGCTATAAAAATGGGTAGATCTGTACATACATTTGGACATGTTAATAAAGCTGAAGAATCATTTATTTGACGAATTCATACCAAAATCTGACATGAAGCTTCTTCCTTGCACAGATTTCTTGGCAATAATCTGTGCATTTTGCTAATTCACGGCACTTTAGAAGTCCTGATAAAATTGGAAGTTGGCACCTTCCCTGTTTAAGGATGGTTCCCCGGTTATTGATAGGTCACAAACTGCTTGATGGGTCGCTGGCAGTACTCACAAGAAACGAGGCCTAACGCATTTTCAAACGTTTCCCCTAAGGGGTCTGGAATTAACATATTGGCAATTCACAACAAGAGAGGATTGTTTAAATCCCTTGATGTTTGGAGGGGACTTGGGAGGAGTGTATTGGATTTTATTTTAGTACAACTGGCAAAACACTCCTCATTATCCCATTGGCTGGTGGAACCCAAGCTGACCCTCTACCCCTGTGGTGTTCCCTCCCCTGAAAGAAATATAGTACCACTTGATCTTGTACCATGTTCTCCCATTCCACAGAACCTGCTTTTGCTTGCAGGCCAGGATAGCTGCGATTCCCATGCTAAGTTTATTGTACTTTG